GCACGCCTCCCGCCCCCGCTCCTCCCGACACCTCCCCCCTGCTCGGGGCCGTGCCGCCCCGCCGCCATGCCCCGGGCCACGGCTCCCCCCCGGACGCCTCCCCCCTGCCATGCATCCCTTCCTCTGCCCCCCCTCCCTTGCCACAGGGCCCCAGGACGGGCTCCTTCTCCTCCGCACACTCCCCGCAGAGCGGCCCCCCAGGCATACGGGGGGCCCCACTAGCTCAGCCTGACTCTCCATTCACCCCGCCGGTCGCCCCAGACCCATTCCCGTCTGCATGGCCACCCTGCCGCCGGGTGACAGCTGCACTTTCCCTCTCCCCCAGAGAAGAGTTGCTGAGCTCCCCGTTCTGGGCCTGCAGTCAGAGTAAGTAGAACCCGCTGGAGTCGGTCACTGCTGCCTGGCCCGGTTCTCACGCTGCCTGGTGCTGGGTTTGCTGGCCGGGGAGAACCCCCTGCAGCGGGAACTGATGGCTGAAGTAGGAATGGTGTCCCTAGCCTCTGTCAGAGGGTGGAGATGGATGGCAGGAGAGAGATCACTTTAAACCAGGCCCAGGCTCCCTCCAGCCCCAAACTCCTGGCCACTCCGTGGAGAATGAGAGATGGCTAGTGTGGGATTGTCCTGCTGGTGACACGGGTCTGAAGCAGGACCAGTTGAAATGACTGCACTTGAGGGCTAGACGTAAGAATGAGTGAGCCTGTGCCTTTCCCCTGCAGTTCTTGTTTGACTCTGGCATCTGTGGGGTCACTTCTGAACTTAGACCACAAGCTCTTCGGACCAGGTTCTATAACTTGCCTCATTTCTGTGAAGCACCTACCATGTTTTTGGCTGCCCCATAATAATAAAACATGGACACAACTGAGAAGCCAAAGAGATATCACCTTTATCACAAGCATAAGGTTCACCTTTGCTCATCTCCACCTTTTTAAAATAACGTCTAAGGGAATAAAAGCATGATAAATGCCCCCCAACGGGGTTATACACCATTTGCAAAATATTCTGTTCTAAAGTTCTTGCATGTGGCTCTATTCTGCAACCACTCTTACAGGGCTGTTCAGAGCTGTGCTAACTTACCCACTGACTCAAACTGTTTTGGGTTGGGAAATTATAGAGGTTTTCCCCACTTGCTGCCCGTCCATCGATTTTGTGCCCTACTCCCTGAGACAGCAAATCACATCAATATCCTTTCTACCAGGGAGAACTGGGCTGGTCCCAGCAGTCAGTGAGTGAGGCTTCCTTCTGGAACAGAGTGTGCTGCCTCCTCAGCAAATGTGAGGTTTAAAGATATACATTAGAACCGGAAGTATATAAGCACATCTCATACTTCGGCATTTCTGACGCCTGCCTGACATTCACTTTCTCCAGGAGCCATCCAAGAATCCCTCAGCAAATGCTTAGAGCAAGGGGAAAAAACACCAGGGTCTATGTCAGAAGTCCTGTGTTCATTTGAAAACCTGCAACTTGAACCATCCCATCAGTCAGTTATGAAACCCAGTTCGCCTTCAGGAGAGCCAGCTCACAAAAGCGGTCACCTGCGGTGTGTATGTTATGGCATTGGAAGCTTTTCCTCTTGTGTCATTTCTCGCTACCAACTAGCATTCTTGCTTCTGTTACTGGAGAAGTTACAGGTAAGAACTATACCCTCTGTTTAAATAGAAGTTACAGGGCCAAGTATCCAGCTAACACTTTTTCTTTCTTGCAGATTCCCAAAAGTCAGTGCTACATTTTTGATCCTTTATTTTCCGAATTGGAAATTAGTGTTCTGAATGACCTTGGTGTAACAGTTGTCCTGGAGAATGAGGTAAGGTGGATTAAGGTTAGGATCTCTAAAATGTAAAGTAACATGTTTATTCGATGAACAGAAAAAAGGAGCACTCCAGAGAAATCAAAGCAGTCCTTCCTACATGTGCGTTTGATGTGGACATATTGCAGGGTTTTTGCCTTTCACTTAATTCTAGTCTGGTCAATTGAAAGTTTCTCCTGTAGCCCTTTTATGGTTCTGACAGAGGGTTTAAGTGTCACATTTTATGTAGCACTTCTGTGAAAGTGGCATGTTTCCCATGGCATCAACTTTTCCCTGGGCGATGGGTTGGAACATTCAACCAGCCAAGAAATCTGCTGGGCTTAAACAATGTTGGGCACTTTTAAATGGCCTTTGAGTGCCACTGAGTGGGCCCTAGTGCTTACAGAACCAGGGAAGCTGACTGAGTAATCTTAAGGAATGCTGTTTATCTGCAGGAGGGAAAACACCACATTCATGAATTCACCGTCTTTTATATGATCCACTGTGGAAAGGCTTTGTATAACAATCTGCTCTGGAGTAACTGGTCTGTAGATGCGCTGTCCAAAATGATCATTATTGGGAACAGTTTTAAAGGGATTGAGGAAAGGTAGGTACCCAAAAACGATTAATGTCCTCACATCTAAGGCAGAATTTCATTCACTAACTCTCATTACAGCAGTAATCCTTTATGCTTACCTGCTTCTGTGATATCTTCACAAACACTGGAGGAGCTGTCTTTTCATGCAGAACTTAATCATCAGCGCAAATATCTTCTGCACTTTAAGGTTTTAAGGTTCAATCTATCAACAAAGCTTTGACTTGCTGCCAAGTCTGTGGCCTTTCAAATGAGATCTAGTCAAACTTCCATGCACCCTGCTTTGGGGATTACAACACTGCTGAGGTGAGAGGCTCTTTTCTTTAGACCAGTGACAATTTGGGAGGCCTCTAGCTTCCTGTTCTTGAGACTGGGCAAGGTTCAGTCACCCGAGCAGTGCAGCTCTCAATGTTTATACATTTCACTTTTCTGCTTGTGGGCAGGCACAGCAGGGAAAGATTAATATATGTATCTGTGATTGAAAACAGAACCAGAAGTGTTGCGTTATAAATCCATTTTAGCCACCAGGCGAGTGTCTACACTGTACCTCCAAACTGACTATTTTGCAAGATAATATAATATAAATAGGTATATCTCCATAAATTATTATCTCATAGAACTGGAAGGGACCCTGAAAGGTCATCGAGTGAAGGCAGGGGGCTGGACTAGCAGGACCAAGTACTGATTTTGCCCCAGATCCCTAAGTGGCCCCCTCAAAGATTGAACTCACAACCCTGGGTTTATCAGGCTGATGCTCAAACCACTGAGCTATCCCTCCCTCAAGATACAAGCAGCATGTCAAGGGCAGATAAAGAAATTGTTTATCCTTGCTATTACATTAGCTCAACCTTCCCGACTGGAGTTGCTAGATGTCTAGATGACTCCTTTACTACTCCTCACATTGGAAAGGTTATGGGCGAAGATCACCTGTTGGAGAGCAAGACCATGCTCTGGTAAACTTGTGACATGTCACTTTTTAAACATGCAGCCTCTGCCTTTCTCTGTGACTTTGTCCTTTTTCTCCATACTCCTGTAATGTCTGAGCAGACCTCAGAATAACTTGAGTTCATTACAAACCAATATTTAAATGTGTTCAAAATTGCCCCTTGTACAGGCCCAGTTGCTTTTTCTAGTTTTCACATGCACATAGAAATAAGTAGTGAGGTAGACTCCCATCTATCTAAACTAAGCCTGATGCTAAGGGCTTCATCTGTGCTTTCTTTGGAATAGACATTTTATACATTCTGTACAACTTCAGCCTTGTGTGTTAACTAACTTCATTTTGTCTCTTAATACAACAAGCTTCCAAAACACAAAACAGTAAAGTCAATTGGTTCCAGTACTAATGTTTGTCTTTGTTTCTAGGTTGTTGGCAAGAATATTAGAGCGAGATTATTTGTACATAGCAAAGGTACAGTTTACTATTTAAGAAACATGAATATATTGTATTGGATAGTCACCTTAGTCTCTAGATATTGATGATAAATTAATGAGAACAGTTACATAATTTTTGTAATAATCCCTTTTGTTGGTTCTTGCATGCCGAAGCAGTGGTTTTCAACCTGTGGTGGTCCACGGACTGTCTAAGGTTTCCAAAGGGGTTCACACCTCAAATAAAAAATGTTTAGGGGTCCGTAAATGAAAAAGATAGAAAACCACTGTGCTAGAGCTAAAGGGGTCTGGCAGGAGCCCAGCTCAGCTGTTTAAAGGCTGGATGACACATTGCATGCAAGGTTTTAGCTTGGCTTCCTACAGTTTCTAGTTTACACATATTTTACCAAGATTGATTTTGATTATGGAAACCATGTTCTATTGTATCTTGCATAACTGTGCTGTTTAACCATGTCTAGATTTTAAAAGGGACAGAGGAAGCTGCATTTCCAATTCATCCTCAGTATATGGATATATTTAATGACACCTCCATCCACTGGTTTCCTTTACAAAAACTCAAGGAGCTCCCACCAGAAGCCTGGCAGTTTCAGGAAGAACCAATGTACCCGGAATGTGATGACCTGGAGATTATCAGGAAATAGGACAAATGGAGTTGTTTCATGCTAGGACCAGATTGAAATGGAATCTTTAATTATGCCCTGGAGTTTGTGCCTGTTTTTACAGGGCTACATTCACTTATAGTAAGGGGATGTTAAGCTCACTTACCACAACTATCAATATAACGGGGGCTGGCTAACATATTTAGCCAGAAATCTTGACGGCAGCAGCACTATCTGCAAACAGAGCTTAATGTGACAGGTTTTGCTCAGAGGTAGTGATTTTTTTTTTAAATCTGTACCTTAGCTTACCCTATTTATTATTCACTAAATAAAGTCATACGAGTTCTTTTTCCATTTTGCTGAACACTTTTATCTTGTGCTTTAAAAAGTGACTGTGTTGAACTGACCAGTTCCTAGAAGACTGGGCCTGCTTTCTGTAACCTCCCCAGATCAAGGCTGGCCGTCCGTGAGGTAGAAGTTTAGATCTGTATTTTGTATCAGCGAGTTCTTCGCAGTTGTGTCTGACCCGCTACAGAACAGAGAATGAGATGCTCTCTCTCAAGGATTGGAGAGGTTAAGGGGTTCTCAACCACAGCTAAAAATACTGTATCAAGAAGCCATAAACTACAGGGGAGCTTTCCCTGTGCACTGCTATGGAAAGTTAGCTAGTGACTGCATTCTTGCATGATGATCCAGATTTTAAGTACCTCAAGACAGGAAGAGTCAGGCCTTAAACAACTCATCACTAATATGTATAGAGATACTGAGCAAGTTCTTCCAAGCAGATGTCCTCTAAGTTTGTTGAAGCATCACCACCCACCCACTCTGAGGCCTGTGTTTGACATTGCCTATCATAAGGCTTTGCCTGTGGGATTCCAGTGCCAGGGTGAAGCTAAAACCAGAAAAATGCCGAATTACCCCCACATTGAATTGGCATTCAGGAAGCATGATTTCATCAGCCAAGCAAGTTACAGAAACATTTTTCTTGAGGGGTTTAGCGGTGCAGCTGTTGCCTCATGGGAAATTGTTAGGTGAGAAATTAATACTTTTTTTGCATAGCTGATCTGATTGCTAATCTAGTTTAAAGGGTGACAACTGCTTGTATCTCTCACTCAACAGCACCTTTTAAACGCTAACTTTACCAACGTGTGCTATCTGAACAGCACTGTTCAAAAAAATCCTACAGAGCTGAAAATCCATCAGATCTACGAAGTCGAGTCACCTCTTTATTGTAAGACAGTCACACTAAACAGCTGTCAGCAGGGGGCTCTTGACAATACTTACTATGTACAATGCTCCTGGCACAGAGCAGGATCCTTATTTAGCCATATCAATGAGACTCTGAAGAGAGGTTGGCACCCACGTCTTTTCTCCTTGTACAAACACAACGCCCCTGTCAATGTAAATCACAATTCGTCCAAATGTGTACAATTGTTTTCCTTCATGCCGCTTCCCGATCACAGGCATGAAGACGATATTGTGTTCTTCTGCTTTTGTTTGAATGAGGTCCTTAAAATTCATTGGCACAGAGCTAGCAGCCATGCCTATGCCCCGTTGGGCCATGTTCTCAGCCTCTCGCCGCTCCTGCATAGCTTCATACTGAAAGTCTTTCCTCCGCTCGGTGTGAGTGAGATAGGCAATGTTTTCCCGAGCACCTGGTTGCATGTAGCCACCTGTTTGGGAAAGAGTGAAATAGGTGAAGACAAGGTTCCAATCCATGTTTGAACAGGATACAGTGGTGAACCTAAATGCTGAATGTCGGGGGTGCAGCATACACCTAGCCCAGTGGGACAGAGTCTTAAACGCTACAGTACATCTTTTACAGTATTTCCTGCTAAAGAGATAGCAGGATATTCAGGCGAAACATTCTCTGAATCAATTCTTTTGAGCTATGACAAATGGCAGGATTTAAAACAATCCTTTGTCACTGAATCTCACCAGAATGTCTAGAACAGGTTGGACAGGGACGCTTGGAGGAAGTTACTCCACTGCAATGCCATTAGAAACGGAGGGAAAGCTGGGCAAACATGCTATGCTCCATGCAAACCCAAGCCCCTGCAATCAGACCAGCTGTCTACTAGCAGGTTAGACAGAGTGACTGCTGAGAAGCCAGGTACTTCAGTAGCTGTAAAGAGCTCAACATCAATCAGCAACTCCACACACAAAGAGAGATGCTTTATGTCACTTGGTGCCTGTTCTGAGTACCATGCTAGGAGTGTCTCAGAAGAGGTGAATTTCCAGTATGGTACAATGTACACTTATAGCTGTGTATCTGGTTCATCATTTTACTATAGGAATATAACGCAGCCTTCAAGACTGACTCTGGACTACCTTCTGTACTGTGCCATGGGCCCACAGTCCTTCCACAGGACTATACAATAAAACTTTAAAAGAAGCAGGGTAAGATGTTGATTCACTGCTGGGGCAGGACACACAAAACAGGGAAGTGGGTTTCAGAGAGTTTATTCTTCTCTAAGTTTTGCACCTTTTATGTGTTTAGTTCTCCCCCCACAATCCTGTCAGCTGCTAACAAGCTGTACTAATTCCCAACAGTGCTTCCTCCTGGACACTTCCATAGTGCTGGGAAGGAGCACCAATTTTCACCACAAAGCAAAGATCACAGACTGTAGCTTTAGAAACCAAGTATTTGAACAATGGCCCCTCAGGGATGGTGTCCCTGGCCCTGTTTGCCAGAAGCTGGGAATGGGATGGATCACTTGATGATTCCCTGTTCTGTTCATTCCCTCTGAAGCACCTGGCATTGGCCACTGTCAGAAGACAGGATACTGGGCTAGATGGGCCTTTAGTCTGACCCAGCATGTCCGTTCTTATGTTAATCACTGACAAACACACAGATACAAGACACTTAACATCTCTACACCTCTGCCCTTTAAATATGGAAACAGCAACTGTACAAATTTTTTTTTTATATTTCAGTCAACTGCAGATATCAGAACAGCAGTCTAGTGCCACACATTTGTGAAACAGAAGCAAAGTATTTTTTCATGAGTGGTGGCAGGATCTATGGAAATTGTAGTTAGCAGGGGTTCTGACTGAATAGAAACTCATACACAAGAATCAAGTATTGCTGTATTGGGAAGCACTAGGTAGGATAGAAACGGTGAAGCCTTTACAACAAGTTACTTACCGACATTGGAAGAGACAGCCCGGTTCATGATATCAAGAGCTTCATTAAATTTGTCCTTGATCGATGGATGTGCTAACACCTGGTCGGAGAACATAGACTTCCAACCAAGGTACCACTTGGTGATCTCTTCATAATTGGGGCTATTACTTAGCCAGGAGCACAGCACCTGCAAAGAAATCGAAAAACACACATCAATGGGGCGGCACAAACGTGGATCAATTAGTTTGATTCTAAATTTGCTTCTACTAACAAGAAGGGACTGTAAATCTGATCTGCTAAAGAAGCAGAGTCTCCATCTGATATACACGGAGCCATCGCTAAGAAATGTCTGCATTTAACATTCAAGCCATTTCTGCCATGCAATATACACTGGGCAGGAGTTGGAATTCTGAGTTTAACCAATAAAATATTTCACTGGGCAACAGCCAGAGAGCCAAGTCCCTCACAGCCATTCAGCACCACCTTATCATTGGCTTGTTCTTTAAAGCAAACAGTTCATTGGTTAGTCTCTTAACTACACACCTGCAGCCATTTGGGGAAGAAGTGTTTCTCCAGAAGTCCGACAAGGCTGGACACAGAGACCATCCCCTCCCAGTCGATCACCCAGTAAAATGCATCCATATGCTGCTGGTGAGGGTTAATGACGAGCTCATTGAGACACATCCCTGGGGAGAGAAGAGAGAAGTCAGAACAGGAACTGCTCTGCTGGCACATTGGCTGCTTTAAACTGCAGGAAGTACTTCAACCTATTCAGCTAGCAGTTTAAGTGGTCGAAGAGGATTTAAATCAAAGATGCTGCCTAACAGGGTTCAAACTCTTTAAACTGTTTGGATAATCTGAATAGCTACAGTAGCCATCCTTGGCTCCAAAAAGGCAAGTATGCTAAATCTCTACTGGGTGCTACTCTCGGCTAGAAGCATACATCTTAAAACAGGACACTGAGTTTTACTTTAGGCTAGAGAGACATTAAACCAGTTTGGATGGCATCAGGGGGGTTGTGTGAGACTCTGTTCTTTGGCTTGCCTCACCGAGTTTAGGCACAATGTTTTTGACCATGAAAGCCTCCCAAGATCCTGGTGTAAACACTTCTTTCCAGGGCTGAAGGATCAGTTTGGCTGAGGAGTCACTGGGATGCCATTTCTGCAGTGCATTTGCCAACTTGTTTCGGATTGGAGAATATAATGGCTCTAATCGAGACTGCATCAGTGGAAGCCAGGGGTGAATCCAAGAGTGGATTGGGACAGTGTCTGTCAGAGGGTTCCAGTTTTCAACCTTGAAACAAACAAGAAGTTACTGCAATAGAAATAAATCTGTCCAGTGACTCCTAAGCAGCTGAGCCCCTCCCTGCCAAATGCACACAAAATTATAATGAAAGCGTCCCCCTGTTAATAATGCTGCCCTGAGGCTCCAAAATGAAAAGGTTATCAAATATTCGTAACTCAGGGTGGTCTGAATGTTGGTTCAGAGCGTGGCTTCTCATCTTACCTCCTTCTGTAGTTTAGGGAAGATAAGCTGATCCAGAATATTATCCAATATCCAAACAGGAATAACATGCACCCAGCTGTCCAAGAAATCTACCATTGGTCCACAGTTTCTCGGCTGCCACTGTGTTATGATGTTTCTGACATAGGGCATCCACATTTCCCACATGAGCCTGGAAAAATCAAAGTCAAGATTAAGCCACAGCCTACGTCTGGTAGAAGTGAATGTTAAACGTTTGGTTTGTCTTTTATAGAGGCCTTCAAAAAGGCTACTTAGTTTACATTTGACAGCTGGATTTTAACAAACACTTCAGCTCATTAAAGGGCATCATCTGGAAAGTGCATTTCCACCCACTCTTCTCCATCCCCAACTGACCATCATTTGAGGGTGTTGCATACAAGTACCATTGGTTTATTGGTTACCTGTGAAAAGCATCCGTTGCTAGGTCCTGCCCACTGTGCGATAACAACTGATCATTTTCTAAAAGCCTTTTCCACTTGGCTATAATTTCTGTGCCGTACATACAGTCCTGAAAAGAAAAAATGAGCCAGGGCAGCGTTTACTTCTTTCATGGTTGCCCATTAGCACGTAAAGCAGTGGGGTGGTGGTAATGTGCTGAGGGAGAGAGACCTGCCTCCCTTCTGACAAACAGCAAGCTGACAGGATGTGGCAGACAGTCTCCCACTAGGGTATAACCCTGGAGTGGATTTAATATAAACCAAAGATACCAGGGCAAGGAGAAATAACATTTTTAAAAGCTAAAGCTACATACTACAGATACGATACTATATGTTTTATCTATCATGTGCTAAATGGCATAACTTGCTGGATAGCACACCCTCTAATTGCCAAGTAAGGCAGATTTCCCATGCAGTACAAGGAAAGGGACTTGTCTTGCCATTTACTGTTTCTTCTGAGCATTACCAGCCTCTGAAAATCAGGCCCCTTGATAACGGGTCTCCAAACATTGAGACTCCCACAATCTCCAGTCACTTTAGAAAATCTTGGCCTTCAGCTTTAGTGAGTAATGTCAGCAGCCCTCCTTTTATTAGCCGGTTAAGAGTGCTCCCACATTTTGCATGCATACATTTACCACAGTAGACCATGAACAAACAATGATTTCCTATGGTCATTTAGTCAACTTTTCAATCAAAGCAAACTACAAAAATCTTTTCAGTCCTAACTGATAAAATACTGAAGCCAAACCCAGTACTCACCTTGAGGGGATCCCAGTTCTTGAAGTAATCTTTCATGAGAGGAAACACGATAGCTACTGCCAGGTCCACTCTATCGGACATCCTGTATTCCTCATAATACTTATCTTGGAGGGTCTCAAAAATCTTTGCACATTCATCCAGGGTAAGTGGATTGTCACAGTTAGGCTGCATTCGCCTCTCGCATTCCTCCACCAATTCCAGGACCTTGCTGAGGTTGCTAATTGCTGTCTCCTCATGCGAGAGGACTTCAGACATCTTCTGTATCTCATGGGTCAGGTTGACAACCATGTCTCTCTCGTACTGTAGCTGCCGGTCATTCTGGATGATCTCCTGCTCTGTGATGTCGATGAGAAGTTGCAAGTTGTGCTCCAGTTCTGGCAAGCCAAATGCTTGGGGCTTGGAGTCTTTGCCCAGTGGCTGCTGAGGATTGTCATCTGGGATATTGTGCTTATGGCTGATTTGACTGTAACTGTAATAAACCCTTTGTTCCCGGCCAGTCATGTCTATAACCTTCCAATAAACAAAAACAAGTATGTCTAAACAGCCAGAGTT